CTAGCCTAGTTGCCTGACTGTGTGACCACATAATCAGGTCCAGTGCTTGATCCACCAGGTCATTGTCAAGGAACAGGTAGACCATATCCATTGGCAGAATACTGATGGCCCCCATGGTCAGTGGTCTCAATATGAGGTCACACTCCATATGCATCTGCTAAAGTGAGATGGGCACGTACCCTCCTTCAAACCTTTTACCACCATCTTGGCACTCACCACAATCTCTGGTGGCAATGCCATGTCTTTTCTCAGAAGTTGAGTTCGGCTGGGCCATCCTTCTGTATCATTATAGGATGCTCGTCTTGACCTGGAGAAATGTTGTCATCTTTTTCTCAATATAAAATCCCATTAGCTCTCAGAGATTTGTTTAAGCTCATCCAGACTCACAGAAGTGCCTTTACAGAGATTCGACACAGGACTCTGAGCTATAGCTGGTTGGCTATGCTCTCAAACTGATTCCCATTCTCTATATGGGATGTCTGTGCCCCAGTAAATCCCACTAGTTTCTCCTATAGCCTCCAGCAGTTGGCCTGGACATGCCCTACTAGCAGCAGCCTTTTTAGCTTCACTTTGTTTTCCTCTCATCACCACCCTTTCTCTTGACGAAGGCTCCCAGCATCAGCCAATGTGGCTGCCTGATTAGACCTTGTTACTCTGTTCCTCGAGGTACATTCTTATTGGAAAGGGATGGAGCTTTTGAACTACTCAAGGAGAATGATTTCGCAATGTTTTTTGTAAGTGCCTTCTGTCCCAGTGGTCAAGCTGGTCAAATTGAAAGTGTGTTTGGGCAGATCATTTCCAGAAGGTGCCGAATTTTCGACTGGACATCTCCAGCACTAACTGGTACATACTATGATGCTGTTTGTGCCCCAGCCCCCAGTGAGTCTCTTCTGTGTAGTTACTGTTGTGGGCGTTTTTACGTATCTTTATCTCCCACAGCAATTGGTCAAACCACTTTGCAGTTAAAACCTATATTATACCCAGAATGTACTTTTATTTGGTCTTTATGGAAGTGTCACAAAATCTTTTACAACGACTTGATTCTTTTATTTGGGATTTTATTAAGGAGATTTTACATTTTCCTCAATTTACAACTGATGGCATTTTATATGCACGTAATAGAGACAGAGGACCGGGGATTCCTAAACTGGAACGCAGATCCCTATCACTGTAATGAAGAAACATGAGGCCTTGGAAAAGTCAACAGATAAAGTTATCCAAACATCAAATTTATAAGGACATTAACTAGATTGAAGGTGTTAACTAGACTGAAGGCTCTTGAAGAAATCTGGATGTTCAAAGATATATATTTACAGCCCAAAGACAAAACAGATAATGAAGAGGAACAAGTAGTGAGCATGTTGAGTACTAATTCTTGATCTTGGAGGGAAGTAGAATTATCAAAATGGATAAATTTAAATGTCAAGGGCTTGGAATTAATTTTCAATTTCCAATGCACGGACTAAAACAGCAATTTATTTTAAGACCTCCAAGCTTATTAACATTATTACCATGCAATCTCTACCCAACCAAGGCAGCCCTAACACATGGGAGACCCTTTAAATAAGGAGTATCAAAGATACATGGCCCCTTTTGAAACACTTCCCCATGTTCCTGGTTGGTGCTGAAGTGTGAAGAGCATAAGAATCAAGCCACATAACAAAATTATGGAGAAGCTATATCAGTATGTGGGCAAATATGGTTGGAGAAATTTTACAGAACCCCATTTAAGAGAAGAGATGAAGCGAAGTTATGGAAGCCAGACAATCTTCCAGAAAGGTTCTACAGTAGTGGCCGTGGATGTAACACTTCAGTTTGAGAATGAGGATGGTGCGATTGAGAAGGCCGGGGAGGAGAAATAGAGAAATATAAACATTTATGATTATGGGGCTGACGAGAGGGGCAACGCCTTCATTTTTTAGTTTTCTAATGCATACATGGAGTAAATGGGCAGAGATGAACAATAAACTTATGAGGCTGGTTGTTCCTCCAGCTCCACAGTGTTGACTCTAACCTCAGCATCTGCAGTTCTTGCCATTTTTGGGCAATTTGGAATTGTCAGGCTCCAAAGAGTGACTGCAACGGTCAGCAATTTTCAGAAAAAAAATTAATCATTAAAAACATTTCTGTCTGATTTCCAAAGCATGTTCTTTCTCTGATTGTGAACAATTACTATACACAAATTTAAAATGATAATTTCTGAACCAGTTTCAATTTCTGAATGATTTTCAGCAGTTTAAATAGGCATTTCTCAGTTTCAACAGTTACAGTAATTGCCTTAACTTTTGCTTAACTTTTGAAGTAAATAAAAATCTTCATAAATGGGGATGTAAACCAGTTAGATCACAGGTACTCAATCATTGGGCCATTGCTGACTCACTACCTCCACCAAGTGGCTGGATAGTTTATTGCCCTGTAACAGAATCACTGAAAAATTCACATCAGGCAGGCAAAATCATCATGGACAATCACAAACAGCAGAACAGCAATTGAGTCACTTGGTTTACACTTCTTTGCCTGAAAAGAATAGAACATCAGTACGACAGGTCAAATGTGGAGGAAACTAGTGAATGGTTATTGCCTGTGGCATTGTGTGTAGGCCCAGTACAAAGACCAATTTTTACTCTGATAGGATGGCAACATACAGTAATGTTAGACATTATAGGGCTGTCCTTAAATGGATGCTTGAAAGTGGAGAAGGTTTTTGATCTTGTTACTCCTATCCTCAAGTTTTGAAAATTCTGAACCAGCTCATGGAAGTGGAGTCACAGGTAGACTGGGTAGTGAAGAGTTCTGATGAAGGGTCCCGACCCGAAACATTGACTTTCCTGCTCCTCTGATTCTGCCTGGCTGCTGTGTTCCTCCAGCTCCACACCGTATTGACAGGATAGTGAAGAAGGCACTTGGTACGCTTGCCTTTATTGGTCACTGCACTGAGTCCAGGAGTTGAGAGGTCATGTTGTGGCCTGTCAGCATATTGGTTAGGTCACTTTTAGACTACTGTGTGTGGTATCTCTGCAGTAGGAAAGATGTTGTTAAACTTGAAAGGGTTCAGAAAAGATTTACAAGGATGTTGCCAGGGTTGCAGGGTTTGAGCTGTAGGAAGAAGCTGAATAGCCTGGGTCTATTTTCCCTGCAGCGTCAGAGGCTGAGGGGTGACCTTTTAGAGGTTTATAAAATCATGAGGGGCATGGATAGGGTGAATAGCCAAGGTCATTTTCTCAGGGTAGGGGAGTCCAAAACTAAAGGGTGTATTTTTAAGGTAAGAGGGAAAACATTTAGAAGTGACCTAAGGGGCAACTTTTTCACACAGAGGGTAGTGTGTGTGTGGAACGAGCTGCTGGGGTAAGTGATGGAAGCTGGTACAATTACAAAATTTAAAAGGCATCTGGATGGGTAAATGAATAGGAAGGGTTTAGAGGGATATGGGCCAAATGTTGGCAAATGGAACGAGATTAATTTAACATATCTGGTTGGCATGGATGAGTGGGACCAAAGGGTCAGTTTTTGTGCTGTCGGGAGCAGGGCATTCAACCCATCGAGTCCATACCAACCCTCCAAAGAGCATCTCACCCAGATCCACCTCGCTATCCTATCACTGTAACCCTGCATTTCCCAAGGCTAATCCACCTAACCTGCACATTCCTGGACACTACTGGCAATTTAGCTTGGCCAATCCACCCTAACCTGCACATCTTTGGTCTGTGGGAAGAAACCCACATAGACACAGGAATGTGCAAACTCCACACAGAGTCATCCAAGGTTGAAATAAAACCCAGTTCCTGGTGGTGTGAAGGTGGCTGTGCTAACCGCTGTGCCACTGTGCCACCCACATCTAAAGGTTTGTGTTTTTATCACACCTTTCACAACCTCAAAACACCCCTACAGTCAAAGAAGTACTTTTTAAAAAATCGGTCAGAATGCAATTCCTTTCTCCTCTTCTCTCGAAAGACAATGGGTAGGATCATTGATGGTTAGAAATGCTCACAAAAAGCAACTCTTTTACCCTACCTCACACTCAGAAGGAGAAGCGGAGATGCTATAAATTGTCCTCATGGTTAGTGAGACTGACCAGTTTAAAACACAGTTAAGACCATAAGACATTGAAGCAGAAATTAGGCCATTTGGCCCATCGAGTCTGCTCTGCTATTCAATCATGGTTGATAAGTTCCTCAACCCCATTCTCCTGCTTTCTCCCTGTAAACCTTGATCCCATTGATAATCAAGAATCTATCTACCTCAGTCTTAAATGTACTCTGTGACCTGGCCTCCACAGCCTTCTGTGGCACTGAATTCCATAGATTCACCACCCTCTGGCTGTTGTTAAGTCAGAGACAATAAAAACGATCCTATGAAGTATTTTGAACTATAGCAATGTACAAAACCAGGGTGGTTAATGAACAAACATGCTCCTACAAATGAGATAATGCTAGATAACTCTGTATCTAGTGATGCTGATTATACATTAGGCCACGGGGAACTCCTTTGCAAAGCTGTGCCTTGTTTAACATTTTCTCCAAGTGGCAGCACCTCTGGCAGCATGGCAGCAAGATGCCAAACTCAACAAACTGCTCAGGTTGCAGGAGTGGGAGTGGAACTTGTAATGTTTTGTTGCAAAGGCAAGGACACTATTGGCTGAACCACAGCTGACCGTGCTGTAAAACTGCTGATGCTTCATCGTGAAAAGACACTGAAGTTTTTCTCTAAGTGCATTAACTACTTATCCAAGAGATGTGAGTGGACAAAGCATCACTCAGTGGAGAAAACAGGGATCAAGCAGAGAGAAGGTCAGTAAGTGCTTTGGGCTAAGTGAACATTTCTCATATGAACAAGATCCTAATGGACAATATTGTCTATTCATCTCATTCCCTCCGTCACATTGATCAGCCAGGCTGAATCTTTACCCTCCAAATTTAATAAAGAAGTTTTCTTCCTCACAATCTCTGCCTCTGTACATTATTCCTTTTCAGCTTGGCTGCAACCATTCTTATTTCTCGCAGATTCCACAACAGCTGACCACTGTATTCCAGGATCTCTCTGGACCACAGCATCTCCAAATACCATCGATCCGAAATGGGCATGTAAAAGAAGGTAAGAGAGAAACTCAGCATCTCCCTGTAATAGACATTACAGAGCATGACTGTACCAGACCCAGGAGTGTTCGTTAGGGACAGTGAAGAGAAAGCTTTGCCACCAGTTGAAAGAGTGCGGGGAGCTTTACTTGATATCTAACCCAGTGCTGTCTGTGTCCTGAAAGTATTTGATGGGGAAAATTTGGAGAGAGCTTTACTTTCAGTTTAAATGAGTAGACAGATCTTTACTTTCAGTTTGAGAGTAGATGGAGGTTTACTCTGTACCTAACCCCATACTGCACTAGGCATGGTCGTGCTTGATGGGGACAGTATAAAAGGACTATTACTTTCAGCATAAGAGTGTAGAGAGAGCTTTACTCTATATTTAACCCTGTGTTGTCCCTGTCCTGGGAGAGGGTATATTACTCAGCAATTATTTCAGGGGCTTTCCTGAGGACAAAACTCTGATCTAAAATGAGTAAAATGGATCAGAGGTCAATGATAACCCCCAGGATATTGATAGTGGGGGATTCAGTGAATGTCAACAGGCAGTGGTTAGATTGTCCCTATTGGGGTTGTAATTGCATGGCAGATCTTGTTGCATGTGAACATGGACTGCTTCAGTATCTAAGGAGTCACAAATGGTGCTGAACATTGTGGAATCATCAGTGAACATCCCCAGTCTGACCTTATGATGGAGGGAAGGTCATTGATGAAGCAGCTGAAGCTGGTTGGGCAGAGGACACTACCCTGAGGAATTCCTGCAGAGATGTCCTGGAGCTGAGATGACTGACCTCTATCAACAATAGCCATCTTCCGATGTGTCAGATATGACTCCAACTCATGGAGCATTTGCCCCCTGACACCTATTGATTCCAGTTTTGCTCGGGCTCCTTGATGCCACATTCAGTCGAATGCAGACTTGATGTCAAGGATGATCATTCTCACCTCCCCCCTGGAATTCAACTCTTTTGTCCATGTTTGAACCAAGGCTGTAATGAGATCAGGAGCTGACAGAACCCAAACTGGGCGTAACTGAGCAGGTTATTGCTGGGCAGGTGCTGCTTGAGAGCACTGTTGATAACACCTTCCATCACTTTTACTGATGAGATGGTAATTGGCTGTGGTTGGATTTGTCCTGCTTTTTGTGAACAGGACATACCTGGGCAATTTCCCACATTGTCAGGTAGGTGCTTGGAGCAGCATAATGGCTCAGTGGTTAACACTGCTGTCTCACAGCGCCAGGGACCCAGTTTCGATTCCAGCCTTGGGTGTCTGTCTGTGTGGAGTTTTCAAATTCTCCCCAAGTCTGCATAGGTTTCCTCTGGGTGCTCTGGTTTCGTCCCACAGTCCAAAGATATGCAGGTCAGGTGGATTGGCAATGCTAAATTGTCTCATAGTGTCCAGGGATGCACAGGTTAGGTGGGTCAGCCATGGGAAATGCAGGGCTACAAGGATAGGGTAGGGGACTGGGTCTGGGTGGAATGCTCTTTGGAGAGTCAGTATGGACGTGATGGGCTGAATGGCCTGTTTCCCCACTGTAGGGATTTTATTATTCAATGATGATGATTCCTGCACTGTCCATTGAACCAGGGTTGATCCCCTGGCTTGATGGTGATGGTTGAGTGGGGGATATGCCGGGCCATGAGGTTACAGATTGTGTTGGAGTACAATTCTGCTGTTGTTGATGGCCCACAGTGCCTCGTGGATGCCCAGTCTTGAGCTTCTAGATCTGTGCAAAGTCTGTCCCATTTAGAACATGTTGGTGCCATAACACAATGCAGGTTATTCTCAATGTGAAGGCAATACATTGTCTCCACAAGGACTGTGCCATGGTTACTCTTACTGATACTGTCATGGACAGATGCAACTGCAGCTGGCAGATTAGTCAGGATGAGGTCAAGTATGTTTTTCCCTCTGTTGGTTCCCTCACCACCTGCCACAGACTCAGTCTAGCAGCTATGTCCTTTAGGACCTGACCAGCTCGATCAGTAATACTGCTGCCGAGCTACTCTTGGTCATTGTAAGTCCCGCACCCAGAGTATATTTTGCACCCTTGCCATCCTCATCCTTTAAATGTTATTCAACATGGAGGAGTACTGATGCATCAGCCAACAGAGGACAGTACATGGTAATCAGCAGGAGGTTTCCTTGCCCATGTTTAACCTGAAGTCATGAGACTTCATGGGTTTTGGAGTCAACGTTGAGGACTCCTAGAGCAACACCCTCCCGACTGTATACCACTGGGTGGCCCACTCTGCTGGGTCTGTCCTGATGGTGGGACAGGACATATCCAGGGATGGTGATGCAAGTGCCTTGGATATTGTCAGTAAAGTATGATTCTGTGAGTATGACTATGTCAGGCTGTTGCTTGACTAGTCTGTGAGACAGCTGTCCTAATTCTGGCACTAGCCCCCAGATATCAGTAAGGAGGACTTTGCAGGGTCAACAGGGCTGTTTCTGCCATTGTCTTTTCCGGTACCTAGGTCAATGCCAGCTGTTCCGCCTGGTTTCATTTCTTTGTTGAGACTCCATATGGATTGATACAACTGGATGGCTTTGTAGGCCATTTCAGAGGGCAGTTGAGAATCGAATCGACCACGTTGCTGTGGGACTGGAGTCACACGTAGGCCAGACCAAGTGAAGATGGCAGATTTCCTTCTCTGAAATACATTAGTAAACCAGGTGGGTTTTGCTGACAATTGACAATGGATTCAAGGTCATCAGTAGATTCCGAATTTCTGATTTGTTTTATGGAATTCAATGTTGCAGGATTCAAACCTGGGTCCCTGGAAGATTAGCTGAGTTTCTGGTCTAATAATATAGCGATAATCCCATTAGGCCATCATCTCCCCATTGTATTCCCATGTCTGGTCTTTCCTATTAACTGCATTGCCATGTTCTGAGAGTGATGTGTTTTTCTTGTTGTAGACCTGATGGAGCTCATGATGATCCAGAATGCCCAGATGTACCAAGTGATCATGAATAACATCACCATGGCAGCACTGACAAGCTTCGGTTACAGTACACAGCCCCAGCCTGCTGTGCAGGTCAGAGGTGACGCAGTTTCAAACCGATTCACATCCCACTTCAGAGAACTCAGCACACAACTGCAGTCCTAAGCATGTGCTTCACTGACAGATGACCTGTCTTTCAGATAACATGTCAAATTCAGCGTTCGTCTGCTCTCAGTAGTAATTAATAATCTAATGGCGCTGTTTCAAAAAACAGCAAGTGTTTATCTTAGTGCCCCTCAATGAAAATTGCAGAATAGTTTATATGCTTATAATCACTTCACTGTTTATGGAAGCTTGCTGTGATCACTTCATTTCCCACAACCATGATTGCAATGCGTTAATAACTGGAGAATTTAACCTTGGTGATCTTTTACACACACCTAACAGATCAGATAGGACTTTTTATTAAACATCACATCTGAAAGCAGACACTCTAACAGTGCAGCACTCCTTTGATGGCGTATCAGCTTAAATTATGGACTGGGCCTCAAACCCAAGCACTCCTAATACCTCCATTCTATACTCTGGAAACCACTCATCAATCCCGGTCCACCAACAGCTCTATTTTAAAAAATCTTATCCTTGTGTTCAAATCAGTCTGCTGTAGCTCTGTAAACCTCCTCCAGCCCTACAACTCTCTGACAACATGGTGTTCCTCTCGTCATGGCCCCTTGTGCATCCCCCACTAAATTCACAATGGCATTGAGCTCTTTGTCGAAATCTCAAATTCCCTCCA